CAGCTTCTTTGGCAATGAATGTTTGTGGCTTACTCTCCTTGTGAAGGGTGTCAATGATTGTCTTCTGGACAACTGTCAAATCAGCAGTCTTCCCCATGATTGTGTAGCCCAGTGAACCAAACTGAGAGACCATTTTGAAGGCTCAGGAAACCTTTGCAGGTGTTTTGAGTTGATTAGCTGATTGGCATGTCACCATATTCTAATTTGTTGAGAGAGTGAATTGGTGGGTTTTTGTTAAATGTGAGCCAAAATTATCACAATTAAAAGAACCAAAGACTTAAACTACTTCAGTCTGTGTGCACTGCATTTATTTAATACACGAGTTTCACAATTTGAGTTGAATTACTGAAATAAATGAACTTTTCCACGACATTCTAATTTATTGAGATGAACCTGTATATGGTTTATGAGGACACAAATGTGTATAATGACATGGGTATTACAACGTAAACATGGTTTATGAGGACACTTCCTGTGTCCCCATAAACCAAAAGGCTTAAAAAATATATACTAAATGGTGTTTTTTGAAATTAAAAAATTGCCAGTAGTTTTCTGTGAGGGGTAGGTTTAGGTGTAGGGTGATAGAAAATGCAGTTTGTACAGTATAAAACCATTACGCCTATGGAGAGTTCCCGTAAACCACATATGCACGAATGTGTGTGTGTGTGTGTGTGCGTGTGTGTGTGTGTGGTTCAGGTATACCCTACATCAGGGCTGTCCAATCCTGCTCCTGCGGGCCACTGTCCCACAGAGTTTAGCTCCAACTTGCCTCAACACACCTGTCTGGAAGTTTCAAGTATGCCTAGTAAGACCTTGATTGGTTCAGGTGCATTTATTTGTGGTTGGAGATAAACTCTGCAGGACTGTGGCCCTCCAGGAGCAGGATTGGACACCCATGCTCTACATAATGGGGACAAAATGTCCTCACAAAGATTCAGAATCCTTCTTCTTGTGGGGACACTTTTTGGTCCCCATGAGGAAAAGAGCTTATAAATCATGCTAAATGATTTTTTTTTTTTTGAAAAACCAAAAATTCAGAAAGTTTTGCGTAAGGGTTAGGGTAAGGGGAGAGAATATACAGTTTGTACAGTATAAAAACATATGTCTATGGAATATCCCCATAAAACATGGAAACCCTATGTGTGTGTGTGTGTGTGGTTGATTTTGTTGCAGAGGATTTGGTAAGCTAGTTTCCGCAAATTTTTTGGAGGTGTTAAAATGAGACTCTGAGTGCTTACATTTTAGTTGTAGTTTTTCAGCACAAATTATCTATAAAATAAGCATTATCAAATTCAGTCATATCAAATTGATCTTTGTCATTCTCGTAGTATTAACTAGTTTAAAGCAGGTTCAGCATAACACTGACACGTTTTATGTCTAGGAGAAGAACTTCTACTGTGGGAGAACGTCTACTGTCCTTTTCTGCATATTAGTGCCTCTCATGTCTTCCACCAGGCTAATACGAATGGTCTGTTCTATTAATGAATTGTTTCCCCTGTCTGAGTTTTATGTCTTATCGTGATTGTGTACAATCATCTCATTATCTCAGCGGAAGAGTAGATCATAATAAAGATTTAAAAACCATGCTTCTATTGGTGGGGCATTTTTTCTAACTGCATTTTTAAAGATCTGAATATGGTGTGATCCTTAGATCATACAGTTGGATTCTTAATTCTGTTAAAATGTAATGGTTTATTTCCTGGAGTTTAAGATCTCTTAGTTTTGATCTGGGTATTCATATGAAACAAAAGATTCACTAGGAGTAACTGGGAAATCACTGAAAACTGGAAACTGGGAGAAATAAATAATAATAATAAAAAAAAACAGCACAGTTCTGTACCCTGAACACTCACACAATACTGTGTCTCTCTCTATGGTCAGGTACATGCATCTTAAACGTTTAGATTTTTTGAGTATTTGACGCCATTTGTATTGATCATTTGTGAAATTATTTATCTCAAATTCATCATTCTCAAACTGGCACAATACATTCGACCTGACAAATCAATAAAATTACATTTAATTAATTAATAATGTCCAAATCTATTACATAATTTAAAAGAGATTTTACAGAAGTACAAAGAAAAAAGATATCCACCTTATTCCTATGCCCCATGATGCTTTGCACAAATTATGGGTATAACTTCCGTTAAGCTGTAAACAATTAGTGAAAGGCTCGCTCTATGAATGCAAAAATACGTTTTTTTTCTTTAACTGGATACAATGAGATAACATTATTCTACTCACCCTTCAACTAACATTAAAATGACATAAAAAAATGTAAAAGCATAAACAAGTTACTTTCAACAGACCATGAATAACCCCAAAAGCGTGATTCTTTCCACAGCAATAACGGACGGGTGAAATATCACTGTATTATGTAACATACATTGCCTTAATTAAACCTGTTCATTAACTTCAGCATTGCATGTTACTATTTCAAAGTGATTTCTGTCATTTTGACAGATAATAAATAGTTTATAACTTGAAAACAAACAAAACTGGAAAGAGACGTGAGGATTTGAGGAGAAAAATTTGAGATTCTTGGTGCATTCCACTGAATTATTAATGGAATATACTGTAAATTAAATTGGGAGAACAGTCCACAAATGTGCAGTATATGTTGTCCTTTTTCATACTATTACAGCGGAATGCAAAGGGAAAAAATAAAATAATCATGAGGAAAAGAATGCAGCAACTGGAAAGTGCTCTTGCCATAGATATTCTTGTTATAACATGCCACGTTAATATACCAAGCGTTACGTTATTATCATGATGTCTGAAAATAAAACATGAAGGAAAATTGACAGCTCATTCAGTCAAACAGACGGATAAGCTTTATTTGTAGGGCAACCTTATGATTTGAAATGATTAGTTTCAGTCTTTTTGAATGGATGTTCCCCATACCGGAATTGCCACCCATATTCAAAATGCAGTAGGCTCGTCAGGAACAAGGTGGATATATGTTATTTAATTGTTTAGGCTTTAAAACAACAACAACAACAAAAACTTGTGTCATATGTTAATGCCATCTCCATACTGGTGTAGTGCATATAAAGGGATGCAGGAACAATGGTCATTAAAACAACTGTATGTAGTTTTGTGTATGTTTGTGATTTTAGAGCCTCCTACAGTTAAGGGAGTGGAATTCATTGTCATAAATATATCCCTATCGTAACTGTCATAAAAAAAAAAAAAAAAAGAAATGGATCGCTGTACGCCTGCATGTTACTGCCGTAAAGCAATTGGCCTTATTCATGGGATTTTACTTGCCCATCAAACTTACTCCCGTAAGGCCGGATATACACTGTGCAATTTTTGTCCGATTTGGTATTTAACAAAAACGTTGCTGTAATCGCAGTGTATGCCCGGCCTAACAGAACAGACGTATGAGGGGAGTGTGGGAAAGAAACAGAAGCCATTGTCCATATTAGAAGTCAGTGTATCATCAGAATGAATTTGAAACTGCTATCAAGTTATAACACTTACAGTTACTTTAAGTTAGCATATTTGTTTTCAGGTAGCCTATTCGTTAGATTTTCACTTTTATTCAATGTCTATATGCTACAGAAGCACTATATTGTAAAGGAAATCTTTTTTGTTGTTGATAATAGATTGTGTTTGGTCACCAGCTCTGCTTGTGAATATCCACATCTCTAAAGGAAATTTCGCTCTGCCCCTTTTTCTAAAACAACCAGTCAAACATCAACATGTCAGTGTTTGATCTCTGAACACACTGCCGTATAGAAAAGAGGAAGCAGCCTGAAATGAGACCTACTACCAAATTGAAACTTTCATCCTCATAACAGGGCCCTTTAGTTCTTTTAAATACATATTTTAATTGCATTCTATGATGGCAACCTGAGCTGAATACACTGGATCTGTTTTATCTCAATCGTTATTAGAGGACTGTAATATCAAATTAACATCTTTCTCGTATGATTGTAAGTAATCCCTTTAAACATTCAAGAACTTTACCAAATTAATGATAGCAAAAATGCTTTTTTTTATTCTTAGCCTACTGTATTTTATTATTTATTAACAAAATTAGGCTAATGAGTTCTTTTATCTTAGTAAAGTACTTAGATTCCGATGTTAACAGAGTCAGTGTGTTTAAATTGTTAGTGATCTAAAAGTTGTTCATTTTGTCCATTTAAACACACTTGCATGTTCCAGACTTCTCTATACATGTGTGCTTATTTCTCTTTTAGATTAAGTACAGGTGCCACAAAATGAAGTTTAGAGTTTTGTCTACCATTTTTCTCCTCACATTTGCAAGTATGTTTAAAATTGTATTTTAATTGAGCATTTTATTTCACTTGTATGTTTGTTACCATGTCACTTTTTTGTTTTTAGATGGAACATATGAAAGTGAGAATTTTATTCATCAACATCCATTGCTGGTTGCTGAGCTTGGAAGCAGTGTGATTTTACCCTGCTCTCACTCAGACAACTTTATCAATTCTGTTTCATGGTATAAACATTCTTTTGGCAAGAAACCACTTCTCATAGCATATTCAGAACATGGCTCTGGAAGTGTTACGTATCAAAATGGCTTTAACAATACAAATAAATACTGTATCAGAACTGGAACTGGCTCTTTTAATTTGACCATCATACACTTGGAAGAATATGATTTTGCAACCTACTATTGTGCTGTGAGCTTCTTGAACATTATTAAATTTGGAGAAGGAACGATTCTTCTACATAAAGGTGAGTTTATGACAATATTCTGAGCTTCACCCACAATCTGACTGCACATATGTGTGTTGTTTTAATGTGTTTACAGAATGTTAAATTTTTCTTTCAGAGAGTGACGGAATAAGAAGCACCACTGTTCTCCAGCAGCCTGTATCTGACAGACTTCATCCAGGAGATTCAGTGACTCTGCAGTGTTCGGTCATCAGTCAGATCTGTGCAGGAGAATACAGCATCTACTGGTTCAGACATTCATCAGGACATTCTTATCCAGGACTCATTTACACCCGTGATAACAGGAGTGATCAGTGTATGGAGAGATCAGAGAACGGCTCTTCTACCCAGAGCTGTATCTTCAGTCTCTCTCAGACTGAACTCAGACCATCTTCACCCACAATCTGATTGCACATATGTGTGTTGTTTTAATGTGTTTACAGAATGTTAAATTTTTCTTTCAGAGAGTGACGGAATAAGAAGCACCACTGTTCTCCAGCAGCCTGTATCTGACAGACTTCATCCAGGAGATTCAGTGACTCTGCAGTGTTCGGTCATCAGTCAGATCTGTGCAGGAGAATACAGCGTCTACTGGTTCAGACATTCATCAGGACATTCTTATCCAGGACTCATTTACACCCGTGATAACAGGAGTGATCAGTGTATGGAGAGATCAGAGAACGGCTCTTCTACCCAGAGCTGTATCTTCAGTCTCTCTCAGACTGAACTCAGACCATCTGATGCTGGGATTTATTACTGTGCTGTTGCCACATGTGGGAAAATACACTTTGGAAATGGAACTAAGTTAATTATTGAAGGTACAGATATATTTATATTACTTATATTATATACTGTATATATATATATATATATATATATATATAGTACCACACTATCTTCAGTTTGTCAATGAATGGAATATTTCTTTATATTTATGTTTGTACATGAACCTAAATCTATGTAACCATTTCAGCTTCAGCTTTGACCTTTTTGAATCCAGTTGTTTTAACTCTGTTCACAATCAGTATATTATCCATTTTTGTGAACATATTTCTGGTGAGACTGATTCACAAGAATCACAAAAAAGGTAAATATATAAAAATAAGTTTATGGCAAAATCAAATAAGGTACTACTGTTCAACAGTAAATTGTTATTTATGAAATTTATATGAGTGAAATTAACAAAGTATATTTTATTATTATCCAAAGAAGCTTCAAAACAACCCAGAAATCAAAGGAATCAGGTAATCCATTTTTATTTGCCCTGTAAGTTATAGAGAATGCAAAGAAATTCAGATGTTGTTTTGATTAAATGTTTTTAGAAGTCTGCAAAACTACTTTCCACACATTTTTTCTTCATATCAATCAACAAACAATCTGAAGTCAAAAAGTTTGAAGTCATTAAGAATTTTAATGATTTTAAAAAGAAGTCTCTTATGCTCACCAATGCTTCATTTATTTGATCAAAAATACAGTAAAAACAGTAATATAATAATAATATTATTACAATTTAAAATAACTGTTTTCTATGTTTAAAAAAAAATAAAAAAAAAAAAATTCCTGTGATGGCAAAACTGAATTTTCAGCATCATTACTCCAGTCTTCAGTGTCATAAGATCCTTCAGAAATCATTCAAGTTCAAAAGAGCAGGATTTATTTGAAATGTATTTATTTATTTATAACAATGTACAATTCTTTACTGTCCTTTTGATCAATTTATTGCATTCTTGCTGAATAAAATCATTAATTTCTAAAAAATCTTACTGATCCCAAACTTTTGAGTAGTGGTGTGTATGATTAATATAGTTTAAAGTGATGCATCTTTACTCAAAATGGTAACTTGTAGTGCAGATATTTTTATTAAAATAAACATGCATCACGCTACTGATGAAGCGCTGTTGCGGCTTTAATTTAATGCTCAAGGGAAAAGAGTGGGTAGGCTAAGATAACTTAATTGTTTGTAGGCATTTATTTATTTTCCTGCTTTCTGTGTGTTTTCTATATATTGATAGTAATTCATAAAATGTTTGTTTTTCCAATTATATAGTTTGATGGTTATTATATTTTTCCTCTGCAGACTGATGAAACAGATGCCTTAAATTATGCAGCCCTGAGTTTTTCCAAAAAGCCTAACAGCTCAAAAAGATCTTCACAGAAAACCAGCCAAGAAGAAACTGTTTATTCACAGATTACAAAGCAATGAGAAAATTACTAATGCTGAGAAATTTTTGATTGTTTAATACCAAGTTATTTTTTAATACTAAGTCAAAATAATTTTTAATTTTTGGTAAACCATTTTGTTATTCCCTTTTTAGTGTAAAATCTGAATTGTGATGGTATAAAGAGCCACGGAGAAGATTTTGGTGTCATTAGATTCTTTGCATTAATCAAGAGACAGAGGGCCCACTGATTGATATTCAGTAGGATCTGTGTAGTTCAGTTAATGAACAAATTACTCTTTTGAGCCTATTTTTTTATGCACAGTTCAAACAAACAAAAAATATTAATAAATAAAAATCCCGGCCTGTATCATTGCTTGTATGATTTTTTCAGAGAGGCAATTTATTTTATATGTAAGCAAAATTGACATTAATCATTAACAGAAATATACTCAAATGAATGTAAAAGAAGTCAAATTTAATCAAGAGCTTATAAATCGAATCTGCAAATCTGTATTATTAATATCCAGCCTTTCTTGTCCAGCTAAATTCTAATTAAAGGAATAGTTCACCAAAAAGTGAAAATTTGCTTAATATTTACTCACCCTGAGGCCATACAAGATGTAGATGTCATCTCTACAGATTTGGAGAAATTTAGCATTACATCACTTGCTCACCATTTAAACCTCTGCAGTGAATGGGTGCTGTCAGAAGGAGAGTTCAAACAGCTGATAAAAATATCACAATAATCTACAAAAGTAGTAATTCACATGACTCCAGTCCATCCATTAGCATCATTTTTGGTGAACTATTCCTTTAATTGCTCTCTTTGTTTGAGCCTGGGTACTTAAAGTGCCCCTATGGTGGATTTTTGAAAATTGCAATTCATGCAGTGTGTAATGCAGCTTTATGTGAATGTAAACAGTCTGCAAAGTTGTAAAGCTGAAAGTGCATCATAAATAAAGTTTTTGTCTCTCAAAAGAAAGAGACGACTTTGAACTGCCTAAACGAGTTGTTTTAAATTTGAATCCCATTCCGCGAATTTTACACGTTACAAATTCTTATATTTGCATAATGCCCACCTATGTTCTACGAGGACATCCTGCGAAAACAAACTTCAAACCCTATAGCTTGTTTGTGTGGATAACGTAATGTCAAGAAGACGCTGTGCTCTGCACGGTGTAAGTGAATTCGGTTTATTTTCACTTCCAAAGGATGAGGCTGTGAGGAATAAGGGGCTAAAATTAATCTTTACTAAGATACCACACCAGTATAATCACAACTTTTTGCTGTGTTCTCACCATTTCACTGACGACTGCTTCTCCAATCTCCACGAGTTCAATGCTGGATTCGTAAACCGGTTGTCTTTGAAAGATGGGTCAGTGCCCAGTTTGCTTGGAACAGTTTGCTCCTCCGAATCACATCCTTAAAGTATGATTAATAATTGTTGCTTTGATGTTCTGTCGAGTGTGCAAAATATGTCGTTTTGTGTGTTGTGTTGTGTATACAGTCAGTGCAGCTGTAAGTC